AGCCTCCCTCTGAATCGTTGTTATAATGCACCATTAACCGGTCAGCAAGGTGCACTGGCACATCAGGGAATTGACACCTTCAGGGCAGACTGGCCCACGATGGTGAATGCATGGCGTGGCTTTTCTTTTAGAAGGCCTCTAATTTTGGGCTAAGGACAATTTTCAGTTGTGCCTAGACAGATAAAAATACAGGGGATTTATTGTACAGGTGAAGAGACCAATAGGGAAATCTGCACTGGGTGCAGATCTGGATTTGGGCTGCTGGTGCGATATGCACTGGTGAAAAAGCATGTCCACTGTGACCTGTGCTTGTAGTACTCTGGGCTGTGACCTAGCCAGTCTGTTCCTGAAACCTTCTCTACGAGACCGGGGCCATCACCTCAGCGATATGTCCATCTAGCCACTATAACCATGTCATTGGCATTGTCTCACACTGAAGCACAGCATAATCTGATTTCACAGTTACAGCCATATACTTTCTTATATCTCTACACTTAGGCATGAGGAGGATACTATAGGGATGTGGGATTGTGTGAAAATGAATGTGGCACCTGAAAACATCATATGGTAGTTTTTATTGTCTACATACTGTACTGATACACAAAAATAAATGCATTATCATTATTCTATAATATCCTAACTCATATCATCTAAAAAAAATAAACCCCATAAAGGGTGCAAATATGCTTGCTCGCCCAGGGCGTTAAAATGCCTAGTTACAACTCTGCTTGCTTCGTTTTGATTTTGACATCACCATCTCCTCTTACAACTTGTTGTCTAAGTGGAGGTTCTGCTGCACTACCCCTTTAGAGCTATATTTGATTAGGAATAATGCATATATCAGTCTGTCCATTACAAACTACATCAGTTTGTGAATCTGAATTATTACTTTGTCAAGTATTAAGAAATGGAAAAATACAACTTACAAAAATTGAGCAATAAAAATGCATATCTCCACATACAAATAGTACATACAAATTAAAAAAACCTCATTTTGGCTACACAAAATGGGGGTAAAAAGTGTTATGTGGTTGGTCCTAGTATTTTTCGATAAGTCACCTTCAGTTTTTCCTCATTACCAGTTTACACCAACAATAAATCTAGTTGGCTATCACAAAGTAAAATTATGGTATATTTCTAAATCTGATGTCCACATAATCTTTAGTGTAAAATGATATGGTACCATTACTTTCTCTTCTTTCTTCCTAACCCTCCACTCTCTCTTCAGATTCAGACCAAATTAACTGAGGGCTTGTCAACACTTAAAATGCTATAGCGGTGCAGCTGCACTGATGCAGGTGTACCGCTGTAGCTTCAGTGAAGAGACTACTTATGCCGACGGGAGGGCTTCTCCCGTCAAGGTAGGTACTCCACCTCCCTGAGAGGTGGTAGCTATGTCGATGAGATAAGCCCTCCCATCAACATAGCACTGTCTACACTGGGAGTTAGATTGGTATAACTTCGTCGATCAGGGGTGTGGATTTTCCACTCCCCTGAGCTACATAGGTCTATTGACATAAGTTGCTAGTGTAGACAAGTCTGAGTAGAGTATGTTCTGTGGATTGTTTTTTCTTATGGCACTGGATTTCATTCCGTAGCCAGCAATAATCGGAAATCAGTATAGGAATTTGACCATATTCAATTTTTTTTGTGGCCATTGGAGTGGAGGTTGTTCTTTTAGATATCATTCATGGTACGAGTTTGGTGCAGTCTTGTTGAGTTGGCTACACATCATGCGCACTTGTGTTCTCTGAGATTGGTGCATATTTCAACTCAGGAACCATGAATAATGTTACTGTGTTTATTTGTTACAGAAATGTTAATCAAAAGCAGTACAGTATAAAATAAAAACTAACTGCAGTACCAACATGAAAATTGGAGTAGCATTTTAATGGTGTACGAGCATTCAACTGCTGTTACTCTACAGCCAGTTTTCTTTCCCTTTTTAGGGAAAGGCTTGAAAATTGCTGCTGGAGGTGATGTTATTGGAGTCATATTAGGAAAAGAATGATTAGACTAATGCTGACCAGGAAATTGCTTTGAGAAAGTGCTTTATTTTATTGCTTCTAGCCTTTCAGTGTACACCTTAAACAGTTGTACTGTGTTTCTAAAATTACTTTTTGAAATGCATCGGGATTTCAAAGACAAATTCTGTTGTCTCAAATTCTTTGGCAGTACTTTCATGTGGATGACTGATTGGGTTATGCCCTTTTCAACAAGTGTTCCAGCTTTCCAGGACTAAAAGCATTTGTTGATACTTCGATGTGTTTTCTTTTTGCAGAGACTGTTCTAATTTAGAGAAACATAGGTCCTTTTATGGTTTTACAAATATCTTTCCTATTCTCCCTTTCATTTTCATTACATACATTTGTAGTAGACTTATTGCTCCCCAAATAAATAGTTTTAGAAACTGTCTCCCAGCTGAAGACCCTTTATTTCATTGTGATAAAATATATTTTAAAAGTACATTGCTTCCTGCCCTTAGCTATGAAGACAGACACCATGTTAAGTAATTCTAGCCAAGTGTCTGTAACTTTTATTAAAACAGCTTTAATAAGATAATACCTAAAGGAAACATTGTCCTAACAGCAGTAAAAAAAGGGGAGGGGAGCAACAGAATCTTAGAACTTCCCAACTTCTTCTTATATTTTGAGCATCCCAACTGTCCAAGGGCTCAATAGAACTGAAGAATTCCAGTCTTAAACACAGTGTCTTGTATGTTACTGTATTAGAGCGCCACATGCAAGGAGAACTCAAATTCCTGTATCTAAAATCCTCATCTGGATGGGAAGGTGGATTAAAGCCTAATCTTTCCCAAACACCACCTCCCTATAAATCTAATCATCACCTAGGATGCTAAAGTTTAATCCTTGCTGCTAGGACATACTGCCCCAAGTTGCAGTTCTGTGAAACAATAAGAAATCAAAATGGAATCTGACTCATACCTAAAAGTCCATACCAGGCACAAACAAACAACATCATATCTGAGTGCCCCTTCGTTCTTTTGCCAGGGGGCTGAAGGATATTCACCAGCTCACTGCTGCGGCAATGTGCTATCAAACTTAGATATAAATTTGTAGTCATTGCTACCTACCCAAGCCATCCGAAAGAAGAAGAATACCTAAACAACTCAGCTAATGTAGCTGTGTGAAAAAACTCAAAACTTCACATACAAAGAAAAAAGATACCTAGGTATTACTTTGAACTGTAACCAGACAGATGTGGAAAGATATGGGAGTCCCTGCAGGCAGTGGTGGGTGAATTAGGGAAAGTGCCTGTTTCAGCCCATTGCAGGTTTGCATTTTCAGCTGTCTGCTGGCCAACCAGTTGCGTGGTAGAAGTGTTGGGTCTGGCTATAGAGTGGCCTCCTTATAGGAGGCTAAAGACTAGCAAGCAATGTGATGCTGCCTGAGGGTAGGGCCAATCATCAGGTCCCAACTCTGCACTCTGGCATCAGCTTAAATGGTTTTGCATTCTGTTGTCATTTTGTGTACAACTGATTGCGCTGTTAGTGATGCAGAAACTTTTCATACACAAGGGTTTTTTTTATTAATGTGGTTTTCCTCCTACTTTTCTATTAGCAAAGATGAACCTTACTTCTGCTATTCTAAGGATTGATAATGGTTACCAGATTTGCTGTATGTGCTGATAAAGCATTATTACTGATAGGCAGTTTTTCCACTTATGCTTTATACATCTCTGTTAAAAAGAATTGTAGAACAGATGTGACTAGCTATTTTGTGTTTGAAGTTAGAGAAGAGTATGCTGTACCTGAATGTGGTTTGTTTGCCATTGGGAAAAGGGACTTTGTTAGACCCATGTGAGAAAACTTTTTTCCTTTGTTAGTTATTTTATAAAAGTTTTGAAGGTTTAAATGCTTGGTGCATAATAATGAAAGTTCAGGGCATAGGTAGGTCTTTATTTATTTATTGTTTGTTAGACAAGAAAGGGCCTGAATTACTGTTAAACGGTGAAAGTGTAAGATGTGGTGAATTATCTGTATCACCAAGTCCATAAGGGCCTCAGAACTGCTTTTACCTCTCTCTATCTCGCATATGAAAGAGTGTTTGTGCACTTCTTATGCTGATCTACAAGGCCCATGCTGAGCAACGGAGCTCCAAAGAAAAGCAAGGAGAGAGGATGGGCTCTGGCACAATTTAAAATAGTGCTGAGGCCAGTCCCAAACAGGTCTGTTGTGTTTCTTTGTTTTCAGAAGGCTTCAGAGCATCAACATAAAGAAGTATTCAGATTAAAATGGCTTAATTGAAAGCAGAATTTTTCACCTTTGACCCAGGAATGTAGTCCAAGTTTAGTAAAAAGAAAACATGGCAGCATCTCCAATGTGCTTGTGACACAGTGAAAAAACTGAAGATTGCTGTGCAGTTTATAATCTTCCCCACCTGGAATTTTTTATTTTGTAGTCTCTAGTGTGCACATGGACATTACTCTCTACATTAAACATTTTAAGTACTTGTTACAGAGTGCTAAGTATGAAACCCTGAGTCAGCACTCTGGTCACAGCAGCTCCAATCAGGCATACCCTGTTTCCCCGAAAATAAGACAGTGTCTTATATTAATTTTTGCTCCCAAAGATGCGCTAGGTCTTATTTTCAGGGGATGTCTTATTTTTCAATGAAGAAGAATACGGTACACATTTTTTTGCCTTATTATCGGGGAGGTCTTATTATCGGGGGGATGCCTTATATTACAACGAGAGGCAAAACTGTAAGTAGGCCTTATTTTCGGAGGATGTCTTATTTTCGGGGAAACAGGGTAGCAGATTGGAGTTGAGGAGGCAGACCTGTGCCTAATTTGTGGGTGGGGCAGGGCAGAAAGGCTAAATAAGCCATTAGCCCAGTGATGGGCAACCTGCAGGCCGCACACAGCCCGCCAGGGTAATCCGCTGGCGGGCCGTGAGACAGTTTCTTTACATTGACCATCCGCAGGCACGGCTGCCCCGCAGCTCCCAGTGGCTGCGGTTTGCTGTTCCCAATCAATGGCAGTGAGGGGGAGAGAGAGATTGCTCTCCCCCTGCTTGTTAAGATGCTAGGTGTGGTGGGACTCAATTATAAATAAACTGCACAGGGTGTTGAACCAGCACAAGGGTCTCTGTGTGGTTTGTCGACTGAGACAGAAGCAGGACTGAGGAGGCCCTGTTACAGTACTGTTTGAAGTGTTCAGAGTGGATGGTGGGAAAAACTCATTAGACAGCATAGTCTCTTAACATATTGCTGAAGGTGCAACTTACCAACGGAAGTTATGAGGTGTTAAGTAAAATAAGTGATGTTCGCTTTTAAAGAACTGTTTCTTAACAATTGATATGTATAAAAATAACTGTACTTCCTATTTGCCCTAGCCTTCTTCATGTATTCCATAATACTTTGACACGGCTTCTTAGATCACAGAGGTATTCATTTTAAGGTAAATTTTGAGTACTCAATTTGAAAAGAAATCTGAATTATGCAAATATTTAAACTATTGTGAATCTTTCAGGGCATTGAAACCTGACGGTGGTTGTGCCTCATCAATAAAGAAATGTGACTCAGTTAGGTGAAGGCTTTTAATATATTGTTTAGGATTAAAAAAATTTAAACGATGTATTGGAAATTTGGTGTGAATCCCATACAGAATAAAAAGAAATTAAGTGGCTGTGGCTTTAATGTGTAGTGCAAAGTTTAAATGTATATATTTATTAGTAAATTGGGGGTATGTCATGTCAGTTTCTTCTATAAACATAATTTCCTTTTCAAATCAATAGCACATTTGGCATTAAAAATCAGTGGCATGTTACCTATCATAATTAATACACTACTTTAGGTAACTATGCATTTGTATTAAGATGCTTTTAGATCCAAGGCTAACTATGTACTTCCCAATTTTCAGTATTAGGCTTTAATCAAATGTTTCAGAAACGTTTCCCCCCCCCCCTAAAAAAAAAAAGCAAACAAATTCCTTTTTTAAATCTCCAGAACCATGCATTAAGTGGTGATTGTGGGTATTGTCTATATCGTTCTGTTCAGTTTATCTCTGCGCACAGTTGTGCTGAATACTCTGAAACAGGATGTGCTTCTGCTATGTTGTAAACTTTGTAGATAAGCCTTCTTATACTTTATGCTAAACTATAATAAATCTAATAACTCGTTATAGCTGAGATTTTGTATTTCTAAATTGAGACCTATAGCATACTATAAGTGCAGCAATAGTGCAGTTGTGAGTTTAAAAATCAAGTTAAATGTTTTCATGTTCCATTTGATGGAAATAAATGGACAAGTTAATTAATTAAAACATCTAATTATAGGAAGGGCAACCGATAAATGAAATTGAACCCTACCTCTTCAAAATCATAGTAGACCAGCATCCTTCTCCTCCTCTGCAACCACTGCTTCCTCTTCCTCCCCTGCCTGGGGGGCACCAATGACCTGCAACAGCACGCTCTGCACAGTCACTGAAACCCTGATTCCAACCTAGGCAGGGGGAGGCAGCTGGAGAGTGAGCCTGCCCTGCACTCAGCCTGCAGCAGTGACTCCCATCCTGTGGGGCTGGGTCCAAGGGTTAAGAGAGAGTCTACCCCAGGCTCCCTCCGGGCAGCAGTGGGTCCTGTGAGGCTGTGCCTGAGCATTGAGAGCAAACCCACTCCACACTCACCAGGTTACAGTGCCACTCATTCAAATTTGGCCAGGCTGCAACCTTGTCATGATGGAAGGGCAGCTGAGCAACCCTGTGTGCCAGGGTGCAACACGGAGTGGGGAGCTGGGCCCAGTCCTGTGAGACACAGGAGCTGCCACTGTGGAGTGGGTGCAGAGCAGTCTGGCTCTCCAACACGTCACTGTCCCTCCCCTCAGTGCCACCCTCACCACTGGGCTGGTGGGGCAAACCACCTAGTGCCTTCCCACATGGACAAACAGAGAAGACACAGTATCCGTGAGTTCTTTCACCTCTGTGACAGACTTGCAGCCCAAATTATAGGAAAGCGTAAATTCTATAAATACATGTTAAAGAATGGCTCTGTGTCAATTTCTGATTCTATTTTTGTTTCTATTCAGTACTTCAGAATTATCATTTGAATTGTAATTGTTCAAGTTTGGCCACATATGGGTGTGTCTGCTTTTTGTATTAACTTTTTTAAGGAGAAAAAGTGTGTGTCTAATTTCCAAAGTTGGCCTGTTACACGGTAATGGCTTCTGGCAGCACTGTAAATAGTGTTTATCTCAGGAAATGGCTATAGTTAACCAAGATGAAATAGGTAAAATGAATAAAAGCTCTATAATACAAATACACAAACTTTCTGTTGACACAGTCCCACACATAAACCATTATGACAGACGTGCCAGATGTCCAGGACCAGTGAAAGGAAGTATCGCGCCCTAGGTGAAACTTCCACCTTGCGCCCCCCCCACCCCCGCCCTGAGGTGCCCACTCCCCCGTGGCAGCTTCCCCCCAGCCCCCCGCCCGGGGGGCCGGGCGGGAGCTCTCACCCCCCACTCTCCCCCCACCTCCCCC